TTTTCAGCTGAAATACTGTTGCAAGGCTTCTACCTCAAAGGGAGGTCTAAGCTTATATTCATCAGTAATGCGGGTAACTAGGTCAGACTGAGGTGGAAGAAGACGAGAGATACCGAGCCTCTGGTATTAACAAAGGAGAAAATGTGTGGGCCGAGAGTTGGGAAAAAAAACTCCCTTTTTAGAGAAGCCTGGTGAGAATCATTTCAGGAGTAAGGGGTAGGTACATGTGAGAAAGATTTCCTACAGAAAAGCTGGCTTCTATTCAAACCAAATATTTTCTGATGTGAGGCGCAATATACACTTTTACACTGCGTGCAGCTGCTGCTATGCCCTTTTCAGCATGAAGCATTACGTTTATTTTGAGCTGACAACGCTGACTGAGTAATGACTCATAAAAGTGTAACCCCAGTGCAAAATCAAGAAATAGGTGTTTGTCAGACTAGGTTGTTTATTCTTTGAGTTCAAATATACTGACCTTTAATGCAGCCCCCCTGTTCTTGCACTATCCAAAAGTATCCAAAATACTTTCTTCTGATTGGCTGCCCTTTGTGTGGCTTCCAAAAATAGGATAGTTTGTGAGCACTGACTGGTGTAAATCTACTAAAAAATCATTTTAGTGAATAAAATTTTGAAAAAAATTTTTTTTTAAAAAATCCATGTACTTTTTCAAACAGCTGTTAAATTCATGATTCAGAATATTAAAGTGGATGGCACCAAAAACCAGCAGCAACAAAGGTTACAACAGGAAATCTTAGAGTGATGAACTGAGCGTTAACGTTCCTCTGCACCTGTCCAAACCTTCCCAGTCTTGTCTCTCTAACTTTAACCTGAGCTGTCCTTCTGCACTCTCTTCTTCTCTAGTGCCCTGTCTGTTATTTGGATGGCTGACCCCAGGTATTTAACCTCATCCACCTTCACTACCGCTACCCATTGCAACTTTATCTGTCCATTTCCTGTTTTGCTTCTACTAACTTTCATTCTCCAGGCTCCAGGCTCCCCTCCACCTGTTTACTACAAATCACAGTGTCATCTGCAAACATAGACTCCACAGAGACTCCGGCCTAACTTCATCTGTCAGTCTGACCATTGGTAACAGCCACCACTATAACATATGACAGACAAATTAGGACAAACGTAATAACGTCACTATTTTTCACATTCCTAATACTCCAAGTTTCTAATTCTAGCTAATCCAGTTTATTTAAAAAAATGCAGTCATACAATTAAGTGTGTAACATGTAAAATTCATGCTTAAATGAAGCAGAACATCTGGTTGCATTCGTTTTGAATGGTCAGATGATTTATGACTGGATTGGTCAATATAAAGCAACAAAACATTAATTTTTTTGTAATTATTGCTATAACATCACTACAGACAAGTCATAGTGTAACAGTTTCACGATAAAAGTCTCAAATGTGAGCAAAGTAGGTGTAGGTTGAGTCAGTTTGCTGACTAAACATGCAGAGAAACAGCCTGAAGGGATTTTAAAGAGACAAACACCTTCCCACAGCACTCCATACAGCAGCCAAATCCATGTAAATAAAGCAAAACATTGTTTAGTGTTAGGAATCTTGTATGTAAGTATGGCAAATTATTAAAGAATTCATTCAAAGTTTTCGGCTACAATGCTGCTGCAATGTTTTATACCTTAAAGGAAGGTCGTATTTATCAGTAACATAGTTAATTAGGTCAGACTGAGGTAGAAAGAGGCAAGAGATAGTGAGCTTCTAACAAAGGAGAAAATCTTGGATGCTTGGAGGCATGCTTGGAAGCTCTTTCTGTTTTACCTATAGGGGTTTTTAAGTGTGGTGTGCAAAGTGGCTTTTGTTTCCAGGCCTAATGCCTGCATCGTGCCCATAGCTGTAATTTCACTTATGATGGGGGTCGAACAACTGGGTGACCAACTCCAGGAAACTTTTCTGCTGCAGCTGTCAGCCAAGGTGACCCCACATGCAGTGGTTAAAAACACTGGGAGCTGCTGTATTGGAAGCAGTCCAGTGTGTCTAAACTTTGCTCAGTTTGCACACTGAAACTCGCAAAACTAAATATATGTTGATGAAACTTAGAGTGATGATAAATTTGTTAACCTCCGTCAAGCAAAAAAACATTTAAATATAGGATTCATTCAATAACTCAAGGTGAGGAAGACATATGAGCAAAACTGCTTGACATAAAGATAGAAAAGTCTTTTTTACCAGGTGTCTTAGTATAAACCCCCTTTTGTGGGTTATGTGATTTTTGGACAAAACTCCAAAGTTCTAAGACTTGAGTAAGGTAGACCCACATGTCCCTCAGTCTGAAGACAAAAGACAAACAGGTGAAAAGACTACATACCTAAACAGGTGTCTGACAACCATGCATAGATGCAATAATCAGTAAATTCACTGTGTCTTTGACTAATTATGAGCATATATTCTACTCAGCAGTGGATAACTGGAATAACCTTGAAAAGCTTTTGATTTAAAGGGACTGTTTTTTAGTAGTAAAGTCGTAAAAGCTGGTTCCAGAATTGCAGTTTTACATTAGCAGCTGCTGCATGAGTAACTCAGAGATTAAAGAAGATAGGGTTTTTCAACTAGCTGCTGCCTCGGACGTCAGTAACAAGCAAGCAAACACTAAGTGTCTGTCTCTGAAATCACAGTCTAGTGTTAACACTTTTATCTATCTGAGGTGAAAACAACACATCATTGAATTCAAACTGCACCACAAGGTGGTTTGAACCTTCAAATTTGCTTTACTGATAGAATGTAAATCAGATGTTTCCATGTACTGTGGAAGAGGTCCCTCCCAGTGTAGGCAAATTTAGTTTAGGTCAAAGATTTCAAACAGAGGAAAAAATAACATAGTTCATTAATGAACCGAGGCCATTCAAAACATGTGAGAGCCCAGAAGAGCTTATGTCTATGTTGGCTTCGTACCTTCCTAAACATAGTTTGCTCCATATCCTTTTTACTGTATCTAAGAGTGACAATTTGTATCTTTCATCCGTGTTATAAATGGTGTATAGTGATGACAAGTTAGAGAAAATAAAGTGTCTTTGCAAGGTGCTGAGCTACTATTTGCCAAAACAAATAGTGGTGTGCTGGAACAATCTGGAAGATTCATTCAGAATACATTTCCCCATTGGATGTTCTAATGATGGAAGTGGACAATGCCAGGGTTATGGATGGGCCTCGGGAGTCCAGGCCAACCCAGTGAGGTCACTGTCATCCTCAGATGAATTCTTCCGATACACTTTGACTATAAATTACACTAATTCATGCAGTTCGGCAATGAAAAACTTAAACACTCAGAGTGTTAAGTTTGAAATTTAAGGGCTAAGTTATTGCAGTTTAGTAGTTTACAGTGCTTCTTCTAAAATTGTGGTGGGCAGCATGACTAAAGAGGACACTAAATGGATGGCTTTGTGCAGAAAAACAAATAAAAACTATAAGTGGAAATGTGATCATAGGTAAAAAGCCATTTTAAACAGATGGACTTTAAAGTTGAAATTCCAAAGGTGGTGGTTAATCAATATATCTGATATTGGAAAATAAGCCGGGGAGCAGGGCAACTAAAAGCTCCGAACCCCTTGATTGTGAGGCAAGCAGAGGGAACAGTCAGGTGTAGGAAGGAAGAAGATCTTAGAGTACAAGAGGAAGTGACAACATGGAGAAGGTCAGACAGATATGGAGGGGTGATGGCCTTGAATACCAGTAGGAGAATTTTGAAGTTGATGTGGAATTTCAGTGGGAGCCAGTGAAGCCGGAACAGGAGTGATGTGGCGTGTAGAGTGGTTCTAGTGATAATACGGGCAGCTGAATTCTGGACCAGCTGAATCTTATGAAGGGATTTGTGAGTAAGGCCAAAGAAGAGGGAACTGTAGTAATCCAGGCATTTCTCTGTGAGTGTGCTATGCATATATTATTGTAAATATGCACTTTTTGTGTTGTTGTTTATATTTTGAAAAGCAAGGTGACTAGAGGCAAATGTCCTTGTCAAAGTTGATTGCACATCCAGTTCATAAGGTCTGCTGCCAACCGTGTAGGTGGATAGTGCTGTCTAAACTGTAATCTCCCATAAGTGTGCAGATAATTTGAACTCTGGTGACTGTGAAAATCCTCATCCTTCATGCCCTATGACTGTGGGCACTGTCATCAGTATCTCTAATTACAATAAAAAGATTTCCCCTTGCAGAGTAAAACAGCTTTGCTTTTATTTGAAGTGGCACTTCTTCCTTGAAAAGGCAAAGGGAGCCAAACCATACCAGCCAAATGTCCTCCACATCTTAACAGAGCCATCTGGTTCTTCAGATGCACAAGTCAAGGGTTGAGGTTTTCCTCTAACCCTGAATATTTTTTAAAATCACTGTCTGGCTTAAAAACAGGCTTCGCTGGCCTCTCAGTAGTCTTAAGTTTGGCACACTCATCTCAGCAGTCTTAACCATCAGAAAACACAACAGAAAAAACCAAACAAACCTCCATCTATAAAGCTTTTTAATTAATACACATCAGCTTATTTTAATTTTACAATCTGCACATAATGTGATAAGTCAGAGGCTAAGATATAGTGTAATCTAGTTCATATGAGAGCATTTTATTCCCCCTTTACACGTATTTCCTGTATGTAGGCTATTAAACAAGATATATAATCTTAATTGGTAAGCTTCATAAATGCTGGTAGGCATATTTTTTGTTAAGCTGTCATTCAGAATTTATGCTAAACGAGGCTAACTGCCTGCTGGCTCTAGATATGTGGCATCACTCTCATCTGGACAGCTTATTAGCATATTTTACAAAAATCTACAGCCCGGTAGCTCCTAAATTAAATTTCAGACTCCTGTATAAATAAACTTTTAACCTTGATCTAGCATTAGCGCAAAGTTAAACTGAATACAGCCAACAGGCCATGCGATTTGGCCTCAAAGGTGCGGAGGCGTGATAAGGTGGGCATATTAAACAGTGACCTTGAGGACTTTCCACCAAGAAGGAATCTATGCAGCGTGAATTTGCAGCAGAAGAAAACACCGATAAGCTCTGTGCCTCTGCCACACACGTTAAGGCCCCACAATACGAGATCCCAGCCGCGCTGAGACTTTAATTGAACTCCCTCCCCTCCCCTCTCTTCTCCTCCACCCTCCCCTCCTCCTCTTCTCTCCTCCGTCTCCAGCGGGCAGCTAACTTCTCGTCGACGCACCACTTGGCTTCAGTTTGTTTTGGAGTGGATACGGACAAGCAGCAAAAGACATGGCTTTCCTTCGTAGAGCGTTTCTGCTGCTGTTTCTTCAGGTCTGCCTGTTGCACGTGAGCGGTAAGTTAAAAAAAATCGAGAAGTAAAAGAGCACGGTTTATTTTTGGTTTTGCTTTTTTTGCGCGTTTTTTATCAAAGAATAAAGTTTCGTGGAGGAGTGCAGAGTTTGAATGAGAATTGGATGCGTGTCTCTTCTTGGATGCGGCGATAATTTTCGGAGCGTTTGTTTTGTTTGCTCGAGACGTTGACGTGTTTTTGTGTCGCGTGCTTCTGAGGAGTTCATTATCTTATTCCGTTAACAAGCTTTTGGCTTCTGTGTTGAATTTTCATCCTCATTTTAATATATGAACCTCCTGGTGTTGACTTCTACACGTTTTACATGTTTTATTTTTTTTAAGTTGCTTGTCGTCTTCGTGAAATGTCGCCTTTAAAGGTGTGTTTAATTACTGCGTAATTGATACTAATTAAGCACCAAATGCGTAGCTGTAGCCCGTAGAGCTAAACGCGGGCATGCGTCGAGCGTCTGAGGAGCTCGTGTGTTATAAAACTCTTCTCGGTCTGCGAAGAAAGTTGGTAAAGGTTTAATGCGACTGCTGTGAACATCTAAAGAACCACAACACTTTATGTAGACCACAGCACCAAATTTAGAAGAGGGTTGAGTTTTCAAGGCAGGGGCATTTTGTTTTTCTTTAGTTAAAGGATGGGATAGATAAGCACAGAGCAGTGCAATGTGTTTGTTTGTTTGCTTCAGTGTCTGTATATCCTCAGCTTGTGTCATTTTAAGAGCCAGTCTGAGTTTACCTTTTTGTGAATATTTTTGCAAAGGCGTGACTCATTGCCTCAGGGAGCTGTGGAGGTTAGAAGCTGTTTATAGATCTTTTTAGTTGGGGCGTCTATGAACAATTTGCTTTGATTCTCTTGACCAGATTGGCTCAAATTGAGAAAAATACCTATAGTTTCCCGGTAGTGAAAGGTTCTCGTGTATTGTTTGTCTGGTCTGTCTGAGTACAAAATAAGACAGAGAAAAGCAGTATGCCTTAAGGACTTGGGGCTCATCAAAGCTATTCACAGGTAAGCAAACATTAGTTTAAGGTTTAAAGCTTGTTGAATAATCAATCTGCAAAAAAGTACAATACTAAATACTTTTGTAATAACTGCAAATTCTTCCTTTTATGCCCCTTTAAGTTACATGACATATTAAAAAACAAGGTGGGTGGACTGAAACATTTCAATTTCAATATTTTGACTTTTTTTAAAGGTTCAAAACAATCTGAACCTTTTTGGGTTGTTGGGTTTTGTACTGTCTGACAATTTTAGCTATTTTAAGCTTTTCCCTTGAGCTGTGGAAAATTATGATGATTAATTTTTTATGGAATTTTGTAGAAGTAGTAGGTTAACTGGGGAAATACTTGAAGTTTTTGGATAGCTAACTGCAACTCTACTGTTTATCTAGCCAGTGTAGGGTAATGGCACCATGCACCTTCTCATTTTGAAGCACGTGATCAACTAGAGTGTGTTGTATATCGACGATACAGCTGTGTGCTTTCAACTTTATATTGGACTGTTAAATGCTGTACTGCTTTCATTACAGTGGCTGATCCTTTTAAATGAACATGAAAATTGAAGAAAGATAAATTATTCACCTGATATGGGTGTCTTTAAATTTTTTATTAGAATCATATTTGCAAAACACATTAATCAAAACTCATTAAGTCAGTTTCCCCACCCAAACCATCCGCCCTCTCGCAACTCACTTTGTCCTGACCTTATCCCTCTTTTTTTCCTTAAATCCACATTTGTTTTTTTTACTCCATCGGCCTTGTCTTAATTGGGTTATCTCTATTTAATCCTCATCTCCCCTCTACCTCCTCTGGAGACCAAGTAAAGCTGTCTGTTTTTGGATTAGGTCATTAGCCTTTGGTAGAGACCCCGGACCTCTAAAGAGCTTCTAAACCAGCCCCTGTCAAAACTGACCTACTCCCTAATGGACCTTGAAGGGCACTTACTCGAATACAATTTGTGGCTAAAAGCATTTCTGCTGCATGGAAATGAACCCATCCTGAGCATGAGAAGAAACCCAAACATGAAGCTTTGTTGATGCACTGTATACAACCCACTATTGATTTCAGAGTCCAATGTTCATCAATATGATTATCACGTTCTGTTAAAAGAATGGGCAAGTGGTCCGGGAATGGCGGTGGAGCAGTAAATCTGAGCAGTGGCTGAGCTTTTACGATGACATTTACAGAACAGAGAGTAGGGAAAGCAGACAGGCCTTTTTAGTTAATGCTGTTATGAAATATTTCTAACCAAACAAGGTTTTATCCATCGGTGCATTTGGAGGCTCGGAGGGATGCGCTCTGAGTTTCTGTGTGTAAAATGCCTCTTGCATTCAGAAAACTGGCAGATGCTTTTATATAATATATGTTAGTGTAACAACATGTGAGTACCGCAGACTTTAGTAAGAACCTGCTGCAGCTTACCTGAATAAATATTTCTTTGTGATGTTAAAATGAGCAGCTGTTTCGTAGTGTACCGCTAACTGTGACATCACCCAAAGACAGTGTGCTTTGTTGACAAAGTCAGTTATTCAGCGTACCTGCTAAAAGATAGGAGGTGCTGGTTTACTGTTGCATCAACTGGTTAGTTTGTTTGTGTTGTTATTTGACTTTGGTCTTTGAAAGGGTTAGTTCAGAACTGGATTAACCTGTTAAAAAAAAGGTCACACGGTGGTAGACCAGCAACTTTCATGATCTGCAGGGTGAAATGGCGATTTTTGTCAAAGAAGTCTGTTGTGTTTAAGGAGTATCGTTGTCATAATAATACAGATACTGGGAAATTCCTCAATCCTCCTCACTATTTTGGATACCACAAGAGGTAAAAAATGACAGAAAATCAGTTATAAGTGAACAGTCAGTTAAAAAAAAGAGAGAACAGTGATGGCACTATCATGCAAAAAAGGTTTTAATATAATTGCATAGTGTATTTATGACAAATATTTTAAGATTGTCTTGGGGACTGCTAACAACGAAAAAGTCAGTATTTTTAGGTTTTCTGAGGTGGTGCTGTGCTTCTGGTGAATTGGCTCCATACTTTGTTTGCTGATGAAACACAGTTGTTAAGGTAGTCTGCCACAATTTCTGTTTGGTTGCTGGTAGACTTTTCTTAGCTTCAGTTGGGAGAAACATAATGATTTTTAGACCCAAACAGTTCTGTTATCCTGGTAAATTAACATCGTCTATTATAATGTTACAGACATGCAGGGCTGATAACGTTCACATCCCACCTGCAAAGTTTAGCCATGGCTGTTACCTTAATGATAATTAACAGTCAGCTAATGTGGCTGTTACATAAATGCACCTTCAGGCTTGGGATGGGCACTAAGAGTACACTACCTTGTGACTCCCTGGGTTTGTAGCTATTGGGTAAATTGCTAATGCCTTGATTATACTCTGCTGCAGACAGGGACAGCTGGAGACTCAACAGATGAGTAGTCATTCCCGTTACGCGTCTTTGAAGTCTGTCACTTGGATTGCATTGTAATTCAAATTTTTTACAAGTCCATACTGTCACAAAAAGCAGGTAGGTACACAGATGTCCACACAGACCATCGCAAGCTGAAATTTACCTCACTGGGATCCGAACAGACCCACGGATAGTGTAATTAAGACTCATTGTTAAGCAATTAATGTTGCAACTGGAGCTTTATTGGCTTCTCGAAATTCCTCTTAAAGTGTTGTTAAGTGTTGTGAATGTCAACTACTGCAGATGCTAGTGAGGGGAGGGGCTGTATGAAGTTATGTGTCAACTGGAGGAGATAAAAACAGGACTGCTGCTATTAATACTGATGCAAATGAGTACCTAATCCAGTGGTCAGTATCTGAGAATCAGTGTTTTTTGCAGCCCTAATAAGAAGAGCAATTTCTTTCTAAGTACAGTGTTTCCACAAATCACCACCTACTGTGGACACCCATGCAGTTAAAACATATGCCTTCAACCTTGGAGATATTATTTATTGTTGGACCATAAAGAAGTTGAACCAAGTGTCAAAAGCAAGCTATATCAATACAATTGGTAATGTCTCAACTTATATCCTGTTTGGAAACATAACAAGAAAGCAAAGAAAAACATTGATATACTGCCCAGCTGTACCGTGAACTCACATTGTTGTTGAAAACGACTAAGGGCACCTTCTAGAAAATGCTAAAGTTGTAAAGTTAGCCCCAAATCCCAGTTTTACTGGCCTTAGACACACATTTCACTTGGAGGTAAACTTGAAAGTTTTCCTACAGAGCAGCTCATTCCAGTTCTAAAGAGAATTCAGTATCCAAACAATTCAGCTGCCTGTTAGGGAGTGACTCCTGATAATACCCCTATAGTATGGGTGTATCGGATAGCCGCATACTACAGGGGTGGGTTGATTTTTAAAAAAGTGGTTGTATTTACATTATTTGATCAGTTTTAACATCACTTGGGGAAGAAAATCAGTTGAAGTATTAAAAGTATGATGCTTAATCAAAAACAATATCATGTTGCTGGTGTTATGTGTGTTGAAGTATTAAATGACATTAAGGTTTCTTTTATTTCCCTTTCATATGCTTACCCACATTCAGACTTTCTTAAATTCTTTTGGCTTTAAGCATTTTTGATAGAATTAATACACATCTGAAGGACTTTGTAATTTGTTATTTATGTGAAATAAGTGGCAATTTGTCTAGCACAACTGCTGGACCAGCTCTAGTTTCAAACCCTGAAATGTAAGCGTTTCCTGGTTGTCATCATATATCATATTTTAATATCCGTGGACAGTAAGCCAATCAATCAAGCTTTCTAAAGATGTCGCCTTTAAATATTTCTCGAATTGTTGAGTTATGAAAATAATAATGTCATTTTTAGACAATAAGTGATGACCATGCAGTCCTCTACAATGTTATTTATAATTCATTGTCGTTTATATACATTTATTTATATTCTAAATATATCAGACTGTTGAATTATTAAACAGCCAATCCTGTAATTGAGATATTCAAATTCATGTTGACTCCAAGGTCATATTGAAA